CTCTAGAGGTTAAAATTGGGCTAAACACCTCTCAAATAGGAGGCCAAATTGTTGGACATACATTCCTGCATAACTTGAGATATCAGACGACTGGACAAGACAGCTCCAGGAACCTCAGATAAGCTCTCTAGTTTTGTGTATAATTCTGGCCAGTTTTTTTCATAAATTTTAGTTGTGAGTTTTTCTGAGTATGATACAACTTAATATCCAGTCAAATTGGTGAGTAAATATAAGATATATTTTCCTTCTGTTATGTAATTGTGTATGTATATAACCATTTATTATTTTTAATATACAGTCCACAAATTTATATATTTACAGAGCAACTTGTGGATATGACAGTGGTAGGTATCGAAGGGGGACATTTTGCGACCTAGGTGTCCCAAATTCCTACTTGTCTAACTTATAATAATAATTATCTTTGTTCATTTACTGTTATGTATATAATGATACATTCAGCTAAATGCAATTTTCCACACTCACAATATATTTAAAACATTAAATGCATTGCACAATGCAACTAAATATCCTTGCCACCAACCCGATATACAAATCTTGTGCCATATAGTCTGCATCCTACAAAAAGGTTAATCTCAGACTTTGTGTCACTGCATACCAACATACATATGTCATGCCATAGTAACACCAGATTATACTTTCTTTGTATAGCATCTTTGAAGACACTCCCACAAGAACGTTCGATCATTCCCAAACACACAAATACTGTATGATGTACCCTCACACACACCTTATATACACACAATAATGTAGTGCAACAAGACACTAACGTACATATTTTATTCCAAAACCGTCTAAAAACAATGTGAAAAACATGTGTTATACCACCACCCACACCACACACACACCACAAATAAATCATATTTGTTTATTACAAAAACATACCTCACTCGCTAACACCCAACCACACTTCCACACTCAAGAAACTAGCCCGGCGCTACCCCTTACTTTGAATTTAAATCTCTTAAATCCTTCAATCGAAATCTACAATAACCCTCAGTAAATGCTGCCTCCCATCTTCCCCCATAAAGATCCCTATTGCGACACTTAGTTCTATATACTGTAGTCCCTAACACTTTTATCCTTTCCTCCACACCTCCCTCATGGCCCAAGATGTATAAATAAAGTTAGTAAACACACATATGCAACCGCATTCACCACCATCTGACTCCCCCCACCTATATCTAAACTTAACACCCTCAACACCTGTAACCCTTCCCCACCCACTAACCTAACCACCCTACTTACCCATACCCTCACATCTTCTAAACAGTTACAAAAGTACACAGCATGAAAAATAGTTTCCGGACATCCACACGCTTTGCTCTCCCCAACCTCCCTTAGTCTCCTATTAAATAACACGACCCCAGACGCAAAATCCCATGTAAAAACCTAAACATAACCTCCCTAACACCTGGTTTTACACGCAAATGCGTGTACATAGGGTATGCCCCCTCAACTGCCGCCACCAGACTCGCCCCCCACCCTCTCAAGAACCCTCAATTAAGGTGATCCGGATTCCTCACAGTCAGTAAAACCCGCAACATAGCCTCTCCAAAAGCTAAATCCCTACCCCTCCACCACCATTGCATATCCTTGCACAGTCTTTCAAGCCTCCCTCGCCCCCCTCCCTCGAATAACCCCGTTTTAAAAACACACTCAACATACGCTTTTCAAGAGGTATAAGCCCCAGCCCCCCCGGCTAACGGGAAGCGACACCACCCCTCTACTTAGCCAGTCACAACCTGATCCCCATATAAATCTGAAAACTCCAAGTTGCAACCGTTGCACCTCACACCACCTCAACGGATATATTGCCACCACGTGCCATAGCTTGCTATACAACAGGACATTTGTGACTATAACCCTCTGATGCAACATTAGCTGTGCCGCCCTCAAACCGCCCAATCTTTTCAAAACCCCATCCATGGTGTGCCTCGAATTTGCCTCTTGCGCATCCCTATCATTCCTCATGTACACTATCCCATATGTCAACAGCTGATCCACCACACTCCACCCGCCCTCTACAGTCCCACCATTATGTACGCTATCCCCTAGATCCATATACTTGGACTTTACATTATTAATTTTCATCCCTGTAGCCTCACCAAACATGTCTAACCACCCTACCTACCTTATTGTAAATCCCTCTCACCCCTCACCAAAACAGTCGTAGCACCCACATAACCCACTATATCCGCTCCACCCTCTCGTTTCATTTATCAACCCCTCCTCCTGCTATACTCCACCTAACCGCCTCATAAAAGGGTTCCTGAAGAAAATGCAAACAATATTTGTGACAGAGGGCATCCCTGTCGCAAACCCCTTCCCATATTATGCTAACACCTAGTCCTCCATTAACCTGTACTCTCATAACTGCACCAGATACAAGTTTTCGCCCAAAAATAATTTCCCTCCCGAAACCCAGCCAACGCATAAACCCATAATGCATCCCTCTCGACACTATCGTAAGCCGCTCTCCAGTCCCAATGCCAAAACACCCCTGCTGCTCTATGAAACTCCTAATAACTCCATGCCCTTCATACATTGACCTACCCGGTATTCCATATTGCCCTCTATCAATTACTTTACTAACCCCTTTTTTATTCTATTCCCCAATTCCTTGCAAATAACTTATAATCACTGCACATAACCAATATTGCACGGTAATTCTCCACTGTGGTCTGTCCACCCTTCGGAACTAATATGACAACAGCAGTCCTTTGTTGCTCACCTCCATTTCCCCCCTCCATCCTTCATTACATTGTAACAACCTGACTAAAAACCTCTCAAAATTCCCAATTCCAAACATAGAAACCATTAGGCAACCCGTCTACACCCGGCGCCTTACCTAAGCTGCACTGGCTAAAGCTTGCCATATCTCCTCTTTCCGTAATCTGTCCTTCCAATGTCCCCCTATCTGTACCATCAAGTCACATTACACAAAACCTCCCATTTCCGTAAAGCAGCATTTTGTATACCCACATGCTGTGTATATAAACCTAAACCATGCATCTAGAATCCACTCATACCCTCAGTCGACACTAATACCTGCCCCTCCTTATACCCTTCCATCCACATGAACAGTTAATCCCTTCATCTCTGTAGCTGCTCTTCCTCTTACGCTGTCCTCTCAACACACATGCAAAAGCCTATCACCCCATAACACCTCATCCAGCCCAGCCAAAACTCCGCACCATCGAATTTTTTCATTTTGCAAACCCCTAATACCTCTTTAATCCCTCAATATCTCCCACCGGATAACTAACACTCCCACGCCCATAGCAAGCTCTCAACTGCCCCTCAAGAAAGATTGATACCCATACTTTAATCTATTATACTCCCTCCCACTACGTACATAAAAATCCTAATACTTGATTTCACCCCAAGTCCCCACCAATTACCCGGATCACCATTCCCAGGTACCTCCACCAACCAACCCCTCCCAAAATTGCTTAAATAAACTGTCGAGGCTCTTCTTCCTCAACAACTTTACATTTAACTTCCAATACCCCCTACACCTTCGGGGCAACCCCTCCCAACCTATATCCACCAAAACACCCCTATGATCAGAAAATACCACGTCCATCACCCTCACACTATGTATTACTACTGTTCGGGGGACGTACAAACGATCGAGCCTAGCACATATCCACGCCTAATAAATGTAATGCCCCACCGCCCCCCCCCCACAAAAAATTGCAAAAACCCACCCAAGATAACAATTCTCCCAATATTCCCATACAATGCCCTCCCCTCTGGGTTCAACATCCTTACGCCTTATCACACAGTTCCAATCGCCTCCTATCACGGCTACTCCTGGCAATCCACACAAGTAATATACCAGAACATCCCTCACAAATTTATTCTTAACATATACATCACCCCTGCTGGGCCATACACCACACCAATGTCATCTGTACCTGACCCCATAACCCATCCACACGAATCACGCTCCCCTCCCCCCCTTCACAATGCCTGACAACCAACAGGCTAGTTTCCTTTACCAAAAGAGCCACATCTCCTTTCAATCTGACTGTATGCTCAACATACACATTATATCCATCCACCTTCAACTCATAACCATGTGTTCCTGCAAAAAACACGACGTCAAACACCATGACGCACCAAATACTCCCTAAACCACTCACACTTTCTCTGCGACCTCAAACCATTGATGTTCAATGTCAAGCACTTAAAACCGACAAAGGGGGTTTCCCTCTTGACACTACTGTTTTGTCACCTGATCGTCTCATTGCACCCCTATCCCTCCACCCCCCCCCCTTTTTGTGCACTCTTACCCAACCCCTGTCCCCGAGTGCCTCTTGAACCCCTCTGCATGGCATCCATCCATGGTTTTCTTCCCAGAACGTTGTGAGGGCGTAAGCACTTCATCTGAATCATAAATCACTGCTGCCGGGGCTTTAGCGTCACACCCTCAACCTGCATCTTGCATCCTGTTCATCACCATATGAACCTCTACCTCCACCATTCTCACAGAAGGGCATCCTTGTCACACACCTTAGGAGAATACCTTGCCCCGCCCTCCTCTACATAGACCCAAGATCCAGGGCTGTACCATCGTCTTTACAAGGGCTCTTGTTGCCCAAAATTTCCCCAAACTCGATATTATCGATTCTTCCTCCTTACTGTCATTCATTTCTGTGATGATCTCCTCCAGCGCTTGAACAACATCCAAGGAAGGGGAGTCCCCCCACTCATAGCACCTGCCTCTCCTTCTCCTCCTCCCTATCAACCTCCCCACTCCATGCACGCAAAGGCAGTGTCATATACGGTTGATCTTGACCCTGTCCTCTCCTCGACATCTCTTCATTGTTGCTGGTCCTTGTCTCCATGTCCTCTAAACCCCATTGCACAGCCAGGTGGTCATACGACCCACACAAACGACAAGTGCATCGCTGCCCCCATATGTCACAAACACAAAGAGTTCTAAATTCTTTCACACACCAACATATGAAGGTATGGATGTCGGAGCATCATCTTCACCGAGTTTCTTACCCTCAGGTATCCCCATATATGGACCAGCTGACCACCTTCCTGCAGTGACCATGTGTATCGTCCCGATTTACTCATGGCGAACCCTATGTCAATGCATCCACCTCAAATGGTACATTCCTGATCTTCACCCCAAATGTAATAGCTTGATACATCATGCATCGTCACCGTCACAGCATGATTCACAGGTATGGCCACTTCCTGGAACTTATTCACCACAGCCTCGTACACACCCCGCCGAGCTGAATTTTACAAATATTCTCTTCATACCATTCAATGCGAGTCCACAAATCTCCTCATTAGCTATGCCGTATTTCTCTGATTATTGCTGGTAGAAGACGGGGGCCCCTTACAGCTCCACTGGCTAATTCAATACAAACTGTATTGATACGACGCTGGCTAGCCCGCGCCATGTTGTGAAAATATTACTGCACCCCGTCAACACCAGGGGGCAGCAGCAGCACCCCGTCCTCTCTACTCAAGAGTTGAGAGACGAATTTTGGTAACTGTATACTATAAAAAACACTATCACTCACTATCATTCTACACCCACCCCACCACTACCTTGTTATAATACTTCACCACCCTATAACCATAACCACCCCCTGCTACTCTACACTCACCACCAACCTACTCCCACCTTAACCTTATAACCAACACCACCAACCCCCACCCCGTCACTCCGCAAGAGCCCACCACAAAGTTTCACTCGGCCCACCTTCCTTCACTATTCAACCCCCTACAATGATGATCTACCTATACCCACCACCATCACCACCCACACACTGCACAACCCACTGTTTATCACATATCTTTGTCAATTTTATTCTGCAGTGTGCTTGTCAAAGTTCCTGGAAGGTCCTCCACTCTTCAACGACGAGGCGATGGCTGCCTACCTGAGGAAGAACTATTTCTTGCCTCCCGCTGCCTCCGATTACAATCTTTCCGGCAATGACGGTGCCTCCACATTCTCGGCTTCTCTCTTGCAGTTCGTCACAGACTATTTCAAGAACAAGGTTGGATTATTATTGTCAAAATGAAATACGTTGGTTGGTTTGTTATTGGGGTTTAAAGCCTATTGACTGCATGAGAGTCATTAAGGCTGCACTGTCACCTGTTCATCAGCAGACAAGAATGTTTTAATCCCTAAAATAGGGATATTCAGGATATTCTGTATACTCTAAGAGAAATACATCTTTCAGGGTATATATCCTCTGAGATATGTTAAATATTATAACTAATATGGTCTAAGTCACATATGGTTCCAGCAAGTTTCTTCAGTGTTCATTTAACGAACCTAACCACAGAATATTTTCTGATACTTGATATGAAACAGAATATTTTTCATACATGATTTAATAAAATCTGTCACCCTATTCCTGGAGACTTTAGTAGTGCGATCATCTTTTTTTTTTTGTTTTTTTTGGTTAAATAGTCTGTTATTAGTTCGGTTGCTATAAACTTTTCAGCCATCAGCACTGTAATTACCTCCTCTTGAGAACGACCATTTACCTCCAACAACACTGTAGTTACCTATTTATGGAAGAGGGTAAGGTACCTAGGGATTGGCATAGAGCATGCATAGTTTACTATAAAGGCAAAGGAGACAAAAGAGAATGCAAAAAATATAGTCTATTGAGTATTCCTGGTAAAGTGTATTGAAAGAATTAAGAGTAAGACGGAAAGTAGGATAGCAGATGAACAAGGAGGCTTTAGGACAGGTAAGGGGTGTATAGATCAAGTGTTTACAGTGAAACATATAGGTGAACAGTATTTAGATAAGGGTAAAGAGGTTTTTGTGGCATTTATGGATTTGGAAAAGGCGGATGACAGGGTGGATAGGGGGGCAATGTGGTAGATGTTGCAAGTGTATGGTATAGGAGGTAGGTTATTGAAAAACAAAAAAAGACACAATACCGTGACTGGAACGATACACAAATAACCCACACATAAAAGAGAGAACCCTACGACGACGTTTCGGTCCGACTTGGACCATTGACAAAGTCACACTAACCAGAAGTGGAGCAGGACGGCTATATATAGGCAGGAAGAGGTGGGGGTAGTAGTAGTAGTAGTAGTACAAGAATGGTATATAATACCAACAAGGTGAAATTAAGACACATGCGCAACACCCGGGCATCCCTATCGTAGATGTTTCGCCATCCAGCTAGCCACTGGATGGCGAAACGTCCACAACAAAGACAACCAGATGCCGCACATGTGTCTTAATTTCATCAGTAGTTGTGGTAGTAGTAGTAATAGAAGAGGTAGTAGTAGTGGTAGTGGTAGAAGTGGGAAATAAGGAAAACGAGCCAGTCAAATACAAAGGAAGGGGAGCACTGCAAGAGAGCTAGGTGCCCACTGAGGGAGAGCAAGCGCACAGAGGTGCGTGAAAGGGGAAGTGGTGAAATAAATGAAGAAGGAACAGAAACACGAGACAGAAGAGAGAAAGACAACCCAGAGGTGAAAAGGAAAGAGGAAAGGGGAAGAGGGAGAAGAAGAAAAAGAAAAAGAAAAAATGAGGAGTCAGGTTAAGTCACGGGTGTTCTGAAGTTTGGAGCATTTTACAATGTAGTGGGAGAGGAAGGCATCTACAGAGACGAAGCCAGGGCTAAGATTCATACAAGGAAAGTTGTGTATTAGAGAGGATTCAACTAGACGGCGACTGTTCGAGTTGGAAGTAGGGAAGACAGTTTTAGCAGAAGACCAGTCAATAGGGTGGCTATGATCTCTGACGTGACAGAAAAGAGCATTGTTAGTGACGGCAAGCCTAAGAGATCGACCAGTTTCTCCGAAGTATTGAAGAGGACAGGAGGAGCAAGAAATAGAGTAGACACCAGAAACATCTGTAGAGGGAGGAGAGGTATGAACGAGATTAGTGCGAAGAGTGTTAGTCTGGCGAAAGGTAAGCTTGATGTCTAAGGGACTTCCCCTTTCACGCACCTCTGTGCGCTTGCTCTCCCTCAGTGGGCACCTAGCTCTCTTGCAGTGCTCACCTTCCTTTGTATTTGACTGGCTCGTCTTCCTTATTTCCCACTTCTACCACTACCACTACCACTACCTCTTCTACTACTACTACTACAACTACTGATGAAATTAAGACACATGTGTGGCGTCTGGTTGTCTTTGTTGTGGACGTTTCGCCATCCAGTGGCTAGCTGGATGGCGAAACGTCTACGATAGGGATGCCCGGGTGTTGCGCATGTGTCTTAATTTCACCTTGTCGGTATTATATACCATTCTTGTACTACTACTACTACTACTATTACCCCCACCTCTTCCTGCCTATATATAGCCGTCCTGCTAAACTTCTGGTTAGTGTGACTTTGTCAATGGTTCAAGTCGGACCGAAACGTCGTCGTAGGGTTCTCTCTTTTATGTGCGGGTTATTTGTGTAGGTTATTGAATGCAGTGAAAAGTTTTTACGAGGTTAGTGAGGCTCAGGCTAGAGTATGTAGGAGAGAGGAAGATTATTTCTCATTAAAAGTAGGCCTTAGACAAGGATGTGTAATGTCACCATGGTTGTTCAATATATTTATAGATGGAGCTGTAAGAGAAGTGAATGCTCGGGTGATGGCAAGAATATAGGGTTAAAAGGTAAAGAATCTAACACAAAGTGGGAGTTGTCACAGTTGCTCTTTGCTGATGACACGGTGTTTCTGGGAGATTCTGAAGAGAATTTGCAGAGGTTGGTGGATGAGTTTGGTAGGGTATGTAAAAGAAGAAAATTAAAAGTGAATATATTAAAGAGTAAGGTGATGAGAATGACAAAATAATAGGTAACGAAAGAGTTGATGTCAGATTGGAGGGAGAGAGTATGGAGGAAGTGAATGTATTCAGTTATCTGAGAGTGGCCGTGTCAGCAGATGGGTCCATGAAAAATTAGGTGAATCATAGAACTGATGAGGGGATTAAGGTGAATGGTGCACTTGGGAGCCTGTGGAGACAAAGCTCGTTGTACATGAAAGCAAAGAGGGGAATGTATAAGAGTATAGATATACCAACGTTCTTATATGGGTGTGAAGCATGGGTGGTGAATGTTGCAAAAAGGAGAAGGCTGGAGACAGTGGACATGTCATGTCTGAGGGCAATGTGTGGTGTGAATATACTGCAGAGAATTCGTAGTTTGGAAATTAGGAGGAGGTGCAGGATTACCAAAAACTATTATCCAGAGGGCAGAGGAGTGGTTGTTGAGGTGGCTCGGACATGCAGAGAGGCTGGAGCAAAATAGATTGACTTCGAGAGTGTATAAATCTGTAGTGGAGGGTAGGTGGGGTAGAGGTAGGCCTTGGAAAGGTTGGAGGGAGGAGGTGAAGGAGGTTTTCGTGTGAGAGGGCTTGGACTTTCAGCAAGGAAGTGTGAGCGTGTTAGGAGCGAATGCAAGAAATGGATTTTAGGACCTGACGTGCTGTTGGAGTGTGAGCAAGGTAACACTTATGAAGGGATTCAGGGAAACCGACAGGCCGGACTTGATTCCTGGAGATGGAAAGTAGAGTGCCGGCACTCTGCAGTAGGGGTGTTAATTAATGTTGCAGTTTTATAACTGTGTAATTCGTGCATCTGGCAAGACAGTAACGGAGTGAATAGTGGTGAAAGTTTTACTTTTGCGGGCCACCCTGCCTTGGTGGAGACGGCCGATGTGTTAAAAAATAACACTTTAGTTACCTTCTCATGGGGACTATCATTTACTTGGGAGCACCGCTGTGGTTACCTTCTCTTAGGGTCTACCATTGACTTCTAACAACACGAGTTATCTCTACCCCTGCGGACTACCCATCTTGAATATCATGTTACATACACATCTAGTAGATTTAGCTTATTTTTGAAATTAATCATTACTAACAAAATGAACAAACAACAAAAGGACGAAAATGTGTCAAGTTTTTATGTAAAACTGATAAGATAAGATTTGTTCGGGTTTTAATCCCGGAGGGTTAGCCACCCAGGATAACCCCAAAAAAGTCAGTCGCATCGAGGGCGTCTAACTTTTTTCCATTGGGGGGCCTTATCTTGTCCCCCAGGGTGCGACCCCACCAGTCATAACACCCAGGTACCTATTTGCTGCTAGGTAACAGGACAACGGGTTTGTAAGAAACGTGTCGAAATGTTTCCACCCGCCGGAACAAACCAGGCCCTCCGTGTGGAAGCGGAGCTTTAGCCGCCAGGCCCCCGGGCCAACCGGTAGTAAGGCTGCTAGAGTTTGTTGAGCACCTGGGCACGAATGTTAATGCTGCCAGGGCACGAATGTTAATGCTGCCAGGGCACGAAGGGTTAATGCTGCCAGGCACGAATATTTAATGCTGCCAGGGCACGAATGTTAATGCTGCCAGGGCACGAATGGTAATGCTGCCAGGGCACGAATATTAATGCTGCCAGGGCACGAATTTTAAATGCTGCCAGGCACGAATGTTAATGCTGCCGGGCACGAATATAATGCTGCCAGGGCACGAATTAATGCTGCCAGGGCACGAATGTAATGCTGCCAGGGTACGAATGTTAAATGCGCAGGGCACGAATGTTAATGCTGCCAGGGCACAAATATTAATGCTGTCATGGCATGAATGTTAATGCTGCCAGACATGAATGTTAATGCTGCCGGGGCGTGAATGTTAATACTGCCAGGGGCATGAATATTATTAGTGCAAGAGAATAGCTGTGAGCATGCCAGGGTATAGCTGTGAGCATGCCAGAATATGACTGTGAGCATGCCAAGTAGGGCTGTGGGCATGCAAGGGCAAGGGTGTGGCATGCCGGGGTATGACTGTGAGCATCCCAAGGGTAGGGCTGGGGGAGCATTCCAGAGTATGGCTGTGGGCATGTCAGGGTATGACTATTAGCATGCAAGGGTATGGCTTGAGCATTCCAGAGTATGGCGTGGGCATGTCAGGGTAGGGGCTGTGGGCATGTCGGGGTATGAGTGTGACATGCCAGAGTATGGCTGTGGGCATGTCAGAGTATGAGTGTAAGAATTCCTGCTCATGACTGATTATGCTAGGACATGACTGAGCATGCCAGAGCATGAATGAGTATACCAGAGCATGACTAAGCATGCCAGAGCATGATTGGGTATGTTAGTGCATAAACTGTCTATGCCAGAACATAGCTGAATATGCCAGGACATGCCTGAGAAATGCCAGGGCATGACTGAAATATGCCAAGGAATGACTGACTATGTCAGGGCATGACAAGAGTATGTCAGAGCATGATTGAATTGCCTGCACATGACTGAGTATGATAAGGCATGACTGAATATGCCAGCAAAATGACTATGTTGGGACATAACTGAATATGCCAGTGTATGACTAGGGCCAGGGTATGGCTGAATATGCCAGGGCATGCCCCTTTAATATGCCAAGGCATGACCGTTAATATGCCAAGGTATGATTATATGCCAGATCATAACTGAGTATTCCAGGGAATGGCCGTTAAATACGCCAGATCATGACTGAGCATACTCTCAGTAGTACCAGTTACCAGTGACCAGTTACCAGTAGTGTCAATAGTAATGACTCGTACACCGACCGTTACTGATCCTCTGCTCCTGCGTGAATCACTGACTGTTATTCACTGTTACAACTGACCTGGCATAATTTGAAGACCGCTCACCCTCTGAGGCGCTGGGGAGTCAGTTGATGTAGAGACGTTAGACAGGCGGCAGGTCAGGCTTGGTGCTCCCCATATATTCCATCCAATATACGTATTTAACAGCCTACGTGAGTGTTTCTTACCCAATCCACGTTTCGAACCCCCACATGACAATACAAGGGCATGACTGTGAGCATGCCAGGGTATGACTGAGCATGCCAGGGCATGGCTAGCATGCCAGGGTATGACTGAGCATGTTATGGTATGAGTGATTATGCCCGGGCATGAGAGAGTATGCCAGGGCAAGACAGAGTATGCCATGGCATGATTATATCACTGCATTACTTAGTATGTCAGAGCATGACTGAATATGGTAGGGCATGACAGAGTATGCCAGGTGATGTCTGAGTATGTTAGAGCATGAGTGATTATGCCAGGCATGATTGAATATGCCAGGGCATGACTATGTTAAGGCATGACTGAATATGCAAGGACATGACTGAATACGCCAGGACATGATTGAATATGCCAGGACATGACTGAATATACCAGGACATGTCTGAATATGACAGGACATGACTGAATATGCTAGGACATGACTGAATATGCCAGGACATAAGCGAATACGTCAGGACATGATTGAATATGCCAGGGCATGACCGTCAACATGCTAGAATATGATTAGACGCCAGGTCATAATTGAGTATGCCAGGGCATGGCTGAATATGCCAGAGAATGACCGTTAATATGTCAAAGCATGAACGTTAATATGCCAGGGTGTGATTATATGCCAGATCATGACGGAGAATGACTGAACATGCCAGGGCATGACTGAGCATGCCAAGGCATGACCGAATATGCCACCACATACTGAGTATGCCAGGGCATGACTGAGTATGCCAGGACATGACTGAGTATGCCAGGGCATGGCTGAATATGCCAGCACATGACTAAGTACAGGGCATGGCCGTCAACATGCTAGTTATGATTATATGCCAGGGTATGACTGAATATACTGGGGCATGACCATTAATATGCCAGGGTATGATTATATGCTAGATCATAACGGAGCATGACTGATCATGCCGGGGCATGACTCAGCATGCCAGGGTATGACTAGCATGCCAGGGCATGACTGAGTATGTTAAGGCATGAGTGATTATGGCAGGGCTTGAGAGAATATGCCAGAACATGACAGAGTATGCCTTGCACGATTATGTCAGTGCATGACTATGTTAGAGCATGAGTGATTAAGCCAGAGCATGAGTGAGTATGCCAGGGCATGACCGATTATGTTAAGGCATGACTAAATATGTCTGGACATGACTGAGTATGCCAGGGCTTGACTGAATATGCTAGGGCATGACAGATTATGCCAGGGCATGACTGAACATGTCGGCACAAGACTGAGTATGCCAGATCATGACTGATTATGCCACGGCATGACTGAGTATGCCAAGGCATAGCTGAATATGCCAAGGCATGACCGTTAATATGCCAGGGTATTATTATGTCAGATCATGACTGAGCATGCCAGGGCATGACTGCATGTCAGGGCATGACTGTGAGAATGTTGGGTATGACTGAGCATGCCAGGGCATGACAGTGAGCATGCAGGGCGTGGCTGTGAGCATACCAGGGCATTACTGTGAGCATGCAGTTCATGAATGAACATGTCAGGGCATAACTGAGCATGTCAGGGCATAACTGAGCATGCCATGGCATAACTGAGCATGCCTTGGCATAACTGAACATGCCAGGGCACGCAATGGTGATGGTTCTTTGTAATGGCTCAAGTAGAATGTGTTGTTAGTGTCTCAAAGTGCACAAAGACTTAACTATTCTTCTTCACTTGAAATCGAACCTGTGTCCCATCAGTTGTGAGAACAACACTAGTGCTGAGCTATATCACAGCAAAATCTTTTATCAGTTGTACCATATTTACATGATCATTTCCACAGTTGTTCTGATATTATAAACATGGACAGTGTCCCTTGTATTGTGGTAACAGCGAGGGGGAGTGTTTGTGGACATCGGTGCGGGAGACGGTGAGTACCACTCACTGACGCTGCCCCTGGAGAAGAACCTGGGCTGGACGGGTCTTCTGGTGGAACCCAACCCTCGCCTCTACAAGAAACTCCTGAAGAAGGGTCGCAGAGCACAGGTGACCAAAGCCTGTGTTTCCCCCTACTCTTATCCAGCCATGGTGAGTAGCGAGTAACTTTCTCTTACTCAACCTCATCCAACTCTACCCAGTCATGATGAATAGTGCTCCTCTCTCTCTCTCTCTCTCTCTCTCTGGCCTTTACCCATCGATGGTGAATAGCAAATCCCTGTGGCTCTTGCTCAATCTTACTCATCTGTGGTGAATAGTAGCTTTTTGTGGCTCTTACCCAGTCTAACGCAGCCTTACCCAATCATCGTCTGTGGCTCTTGATTACCTGACTTGAAAGAGTTATTTGTAGTAATAAGTGAAGACTCACAGGTAAGACTCACTAGAAGTGAGGGGGAAGTGGAGACAGAAGAAGAATAACTTGGAGAGGAACGTCTGAGTTGTAGGAAAAAAGCCGGAGTTAACCCAGCCGCAATAAGAACATAAGAACGAAGGAACACTGCAGCAGGCCTACTGGCCCATGCGAGGCAGGTCCAAGTCTCCTACCGGCTTAAGCCAATGCACCCAACCTAGTCAGGTCAGGTCACCCTGACTTAAGGGAGGAACACGGCAACCGTCCTGGTAGCACACGCTAATCAGGTCAACTCACCCACCCACACCCACTCAAGTATTATCCAACCTATTTTTAAAGCTACACAATGTTCTGGCCTCTATGAGTGTACTTGGGAGTTTGTTCCACTCATCCACAACTCTATTACCAAACCAGTACTTTCCTATATCCTTCCTGAATCTGAATTTTCTAACTTAAAACCATTGCTGCGAGTCCTGTCTAGGCTAGATATTTTCAGCACAATATTTACATCCCCTTTATTTATTCCTGTCTTCCATTTATACATCTCAATCATATCCCCCCTAATTCTACGTCTTTCTAGAGAGTGCAGATTCAGGGCTCTTAGTCTGTCCTCATAGGGAAGGTTTCTGATACATGGGATCAACTTTGTCATCCTCCTTTGTACATTTTCCAGAGCATTTATATCCATTCTGTAATACGGTGACCAAAACTGTGCAGCATAATCTAAATAAGGCCTAACCAAGGATGTATAGAGTTGAAGAACAACCTGAGGACTCCTATTATTTATGCTTCTTGATATGAAGCCAAGGATTCTATTAGCTTTATTGCGAACACTTATAAACTGTTGTCTTGGTTTCAGATTACTGCTAACCAGAACTCCTAAATCTTTTTCTCAATCCGTAATATTAAGATCTACATTATTTAGTTTATATGTGGCATGGTTATTGTCCTGTCCAACATTTACAACTTTGCATTTGTCTATATTAAACTGCATCTCCCACTTCTCCGACCACTGCATCAGTCTACTCAAATCTTCCTGGAGTGCTCTAATGTCCTCTTCAGAATGAATTCGACGGCCTCTTTTGATGTCATCGGCAAACTTGCTGATGTCGCTCTTTATGCCCTCATCTATGTCGTTTATGTAGATTGTGAACAGCAGGGGGCCCAACACTGACCCCTGTGGAACACCGCTCGTGACACTTCCCCACTCTGATTTCTCCCCATTTATGCAAACTCTCTGCTGCCTATTTGTCAACCATGCCTCTATCCAGGAAAAATTTCTCCTATTCCATGTGCCTTAATTTTCCTCAATAGTCTCTGATGTGGGCCCCCTGTCAAAAGCCTTACTGAAGTCCATATACACAATATCATATTCCATTACCATGATCAACCTCCTCAAATACCTTAGTGAAAAAAGTTAATAAATTCGTAAGGCAGGAACGCCCCTTTGTAAAACCATGCTGAGATTCGTTGATTAATTTATGCTACTCAAGGTGGCTACGAACTGCCTCGGCAATTATTGATTTCATAAATTTTCCCACTATGGAGGTTGGGCTTATTGGTCTATAGTTCGAAGCTAAGGACCTGTCACCTGCTTTGAAAATAGGTATCACATTTGCCATTTTCCACTTATCTGGCACAATGCCAGTTTGTAGTGATATGTTGAAAAGATTAGCCAAAGGTTTGCTAAGCTCCTCTTTACATTCCTTTAGAACCCTTGCATACAGTTCATCAGGCCTGGGGATTTGTTAGGTTTTAATTTATCTATTTGCCTAAGGACCATGTCACTTGTGACCCTAATCGTGCACAGTTTATTATCGTCCTGTTCCACATAATTGATCATTTCTGGAATATCGCTGGTATCCTCCTGTGTAAAACTGAGAGGAAGTATGGTGTTAAAACTTCTACACATTTCCTTATCACTGTCAGTGAGCTGACCCGAGGAACTTTTGAGTGGGCCTATCTTGTCCCTGATCTTACTTCTGTATACCTGAAAGAATCCTTTTGGGTTAGTCTTCGAATCTCTTGCAAATTTAACCTCATAATCTCTTTTTGCTTTTCTAATTCCTTTTTTATTTCTCTCTTTAACTGAATATATCGATTTCTTAATTGCCCCTCTCCTCTTTTGAATTGCTTATATATGCCTCTCTTTTGACCAATTAGATATTTTAATCTATTGTTCATCCATTTAGGATCATTTTTGTTTGATCTGATTTCCCTATTTGGAACATAATTTGACTGAGCAGCTAGAACTATGCCCTGGAAAGCGTCATATTGGTAACCATCACCACCTACCTGACCCTTAGTCAGGTCATTCCAGTTCAGCCCACCTAAGTAATTTTTCAGTCCTATGAAATCAGCCAAGTGGAAGTCAGGGACAGAGACTTGATTGCCATTATTAGGGGAATTCCATGATATATTAAAACTGAGTGATTTGTGATCACTTTCCCCAAGCTCATCATTAACCTCAAGATTATTAATTAGTGTTTCCCTACTGGCAAGAACCAAGTCAAGGAGGTTATTTCCCCTAGTTGGCTCTGTCACAAACTGTTTTAAAAAACAATCCTGGATCGTATCAAGAAAGTCACCTGACTCTAAATTTCCTGTTAAATTGCTCCAGTCAATCTGTCTATAGTTGAAATCTCCCATTAGCACAACATTTTCGTATGTAGATGCCTTACGAATTTCGTCCCATAGAAGTTTACTGCACTCCCTATCAAGATTTGGGGCCCTGTAAATCACACCTAAAATTAGTTTTTCTCGGCCCTCGAGAAGCTGTAACCAAACAGATTCAGTTGCTGACGCTTCTAATTTAATATTTTGTCTAACACAACAATTTAAATTGTCTCTGACATACATCGCTACTCCACCACCTTTCCTGTTGACTTTGTCAGTGTGGAATAATTTATAGCCTTGTATGTGACATTCAGAGGGCATCTCTCTATCTTTCAGATTGAGCCAGGTCTCTGTTATAGCAATAATATCTATGTTTCCTGCACTTGCAATTAATCTTAGCTCATCTATCTTATTTCTTACACTCCTGCTATTAGTATAGTAAACCTTAAAGGGAGCTAGTCCCTTGCTGCCCTCTGCTGTCCCCCTTTGTTTGCTGACCTGATCTATTGTTTTTATTTATAACTTCATGCTGAATGCCTTTTATACATTTACTGTTTCCAACCCTAGTGTTGCAACCTGCTTGTTTCCCACACTCACCCATACCTCTATCTTCCATCAGTTTAAAATCATAGGCATTTCACCAATGGCCTTCTCAATCGAGTCTGCAAATGCTACCACCCCAGCCCCAGAGAGATGTACCCCATCCCTTGCATACATATCATGTTTGCCATAAAAGTTGTTCCAGTTGTCAATGAATGGGATTGCAAGTTCCTTGCAGTATCTGTCTAGCCAGTAATTTACACCAATTGCCCTAGACAACCATTCATTTCCTACTCCCCTTCTAGGCAAGATGCTACATATGATTGGGATCCCTCCCTTAGACTTAATGAAATCTAAGGCTGGCCTGTGCTTATCTAGCAGCTCTTCTCTCCTACCCTTCCCAATATCATTTCCACCAGCACTGAGACAGATAATGGGCTTGTTCCCATTACCTGACATGATATTATCCAGCCTGTTGACTATGTCCCCAACACCAGCTCCAGGGAAGCACACTCTATCTCTCATCTTCTTATTCCTATTACAATGTAGTAATAAGAGTAATAAGGATTATTAGAAAAAGTACGTCTGGTGTTTTGGGTTATTAATTATTAGTAGCAATCATATTATTATTATTATTGCTATTGTTGTTGTTGTTGCTGTTGATGTTGTTATAGTATATCGTTAATTTTGAGTGTGTAACTAGAGACAAAATAAATGCTTTTATTTACTTTTTTATTATCACACTGGCCGATTCCCACCAAGGCAGGGTGGCCCGAAAAAGAAAAACTTTCACCATCATTCACTCCATCACTGTCTTGCCAGAAGGGTGCTTTACACTACAGTTTTTAAACTGCAACATTAACACCCCTCCTTCAGAGTGCAGGCACTGTACTTCCCATCTCCAGGACTCAAGTCCGGCCTGCCGGTTTCCCTGAATCCCTTCATAAATGTTACTTTGCTCACTCTCCAACAGCATGTCAAGTATTAAAAACCATTTGTCTCCATTTACTCCTATCAAACACGCTCACGCATTCCCGCTGGAAGTCCAGGCAACTCGCACACAAAACCTCCTTTATCCCCTCCCTCCAACCTTTCCTAGGCTGATCCGTACACCGCCTTCCTTCCACTACAGACTGATACACTCTTGAAGTCATTCTGTTTCGCTCCATTCTCTCTACATGTCCGAACCACCTCAACAACCCTTCCTCAGCCCTCTGAACAACAGTTTTGGCAATCCCACACCTCCTCCTGACTTCCAAACTAAGAATTCTCTGCATTATATTCACACCACACATTGTCCTCATACATGACATCTCCACTGCCTCCAGCCTTCTCCTCGCTGCAACATTCATCACCCACGCTTCACACCCATATAAGAGCGTTGGTAAAACTATACTCTCATACATTCCCCTCTTTGCCTCCAAGGACAAAGTTCTTTGTCTCCACAGACTCCTAAGTGCACCACTCACCCTTTCCCCCTCATCAATTCTATGATTCACCTCATCTTTCATAGACCCATCCGCTGACACGTCCACTCCCAAATATCTGAATACATTCACCTCCTCTATACTCTCTCCCTCCAATC